GGGCCCCCCCCCCCCCCCCCCCCCCCCCGCGAAGAGCAAGAGGTAACCAATCTTCATGCTGCCTCTTCGCTCTTTCCTACAGAAGTCACATGCATGCTCTCTGTCCTGGAGCTCCCTGAGAACCTTAGAAACGAGCTATTTGTCTCAGTGGTAGCAGACCTGTGTGATGCTAATAATTGCCCATAGGTTTGAAAAATAGTAAATAATTTCTGGGCTCCTGACATTAAGGCTCTTTCCCTATTCAGTTAGTGAGGCAGCCCAGGCCAAGTGAAGCATCTCAGCTCCCCAAAGTGAGCAGACGAGCAGCTGCTTGTGTGGGTTTTCTCCTGCTTAATGATTAAGTGAATTGAACTAGCAGAACCATTTGCTACACTGAATGCTTCATGGTAATAGCGCATCTGCTTAACTGAGTGGTGCCTATCAGCTGGTCTATCTTGTGCAATATGGTCTGTTCTGGGGCTTAGAACAGCAGCTGGGACTCTGGGGTCCTGGCTTGGCTCCTGGGCATGTTACTAAACTTCTCCTTGCTCATCTGCCCAGTGTTGTGGGGCAGTGGTAGAAACTCCTGGGTTTGATTCCCAGATGCACATATGACCAGCCTCTGGACTTGGTCTGGCCTTAGTGTTCAATGGTCTAAAGGGGGGATGGAAGGTCTGGGAAGCCTCTTCTTCTCTTCTGTACTCCTGCCTAGGCATATGTATGGAAGGTCCTGGTGACCTCTCCAATACACCGTGGTCTAGAAGGCTTGAGGGTGGCCTCCTGATTTGCTTATCTAGGGAGGCTGGGTAAGTGCTGGAGATGAAAGCGTTGCCATCGTTCCAAGAAATCGGTGGAAGTCTCTTCTTGAACTGTTGTGGGCTCTGGATTATGCTTTAATTCCCCAGTCCAGCAAAGCATGTTAAAAATGGAAGGCTGCAAATAACCTGCCTGAGCTGGGGCTTGCAACTGGTCTAAAGGGCCCCTCTTGTAGCTCACTGGGGTGCCTGTTTCTAGGTGAGGCTGTTGGGCTATGGAGGAATTCTTGGATTCTGGGCACCTTTTTAAATAGGCCCATAGAAAGGTTTAAAATAGATATGTTTACCTTGAGGATTGGTTCAATGTCCTGGAAAGATGCATCATCAGGAAGGCTTTCCAAAGACCAGGCTAGGAGATGGATGCCTAACTCCCATTTTATAGTCAGTGGAATATGGATGTCTAACGGCCCTTTGTACCACTGAATGCCCGTCTCGTCTCTTATAACCTTTCCCTGAATGCCACAAAGCGTTCTCTCCCTTCAGCTTGGAGGCACCAATTCTGCTTCGTTATTTTTTGCCATCTGGTTGTCGGTTATGCTAATGAGCATACATTACAGGGGACCCCTAGGATAGTGGTACTCAACCTTCCTTAGACTCAAGTTACCTCTCCGTAACTTAGGTGAATTGAGTGGTGTCCCACTTCAAAAACTTATTTATTACAGTGCTTAATAAATAGGGCTGTGTAGTGGGGGCTGAAGAAAGGCCAGTTAGGGACTGAGCCCAAGCCTGCACTTATCTGCTCATCTCCTCACACTTCACTTATCCTCAGACCTTGGGGCACCCTTCAAAGGATCTCATGGCACCCCTGGGTGCCATAGCACCCTGGTTGAGAACCACCATCCTAGGTACTGATACCCTGGCCTGATTGGGAAGAAGGTTTGGAGGGGTTTGGCTATGCCAGAGGTTCAGGTGGTAGTTTGGCACCAGGGAGAGCTGAGTGTCATTCTGTCCTCCACCCCTGACTGTCTTGCATGACCTTGAGAGAGTCTCTCTTAACTTCCCAGGGGGTTGTGGAGATAATTGTAACATGGGGGATTGTGGAGAGTTGGACATGGATGTGCTTGGAGACTGTAGTAATCGAAGGCTCTGGAAGTGCCTAATCTAGACAGAAAAAAGACATGGGGGCCGGGGGGGATCTAAAAGCTGGAACCCACAAACCATTCTCTGCTGCTCACGCCCCAACCAGGTTGACCAGCAAAGTTCTAAAAAATCAGAAGCTTCTGCAAACGGCTGAGTGATGGAGACATGAAAGGGAAATGCTAAGCCCTGGTCTCATGCCAGCAAGCTAAGAGCATTGATGAATGCCAAGAAGGGAAGGGGGGCTTGGAGGGGGAAGAGGGGAGATTTTTATGCCCAGCCAGCAATTCTGTGCTACAGATGCTATTGTTCGGGAGGACTTTGATATGTGCTGGAATTGAGCAGATGGCATCTAGTGAGCGGAACTACAAAGCCCCGGTGTGGAGGGGGGTGACTGGGTAATTCAAAGCCCCTGACAGGATGATAGGCAGATGAGCTGTTGGCTCTGTCGCCTCTGGCTAGTGTGGTTGCCCACCCCCCGCCCCTTCCCTGTACAGTCGGCCTGTCCTAGCCATGCATGGAATAATGGCATTGCCTTTGTCCCAAATGGGGCAGCATTTAAAAATTCTGCCTGCGATTTGTTTCCCTGATGTCTCTATCTCCATCCCAGCCCACCCCACCCCCTCCTTCCACATACACTTCTACAGGCTGTCGTTCCCTTTCACACTTACACTGGCTGCTTTCTGCAGTGACATTTCAAAAGCTCCTAATTGTTAGTGGGGGGGGGGGGTCTTCTTTTCTTTGTAGTCTCGATAAGCGCGTGTTGGGGTGGGAGCAGAATGGCTGGCTGATAACAAATACAGGACCTCTCTAAACCTCTGGGGTGATGACTTCTATTTGGACTGGGTCAGCAGTCATCAGCAGCTGTCACTGAGAGAGCTCCTAATGACCTGAGCTGGCCTATTCTGTCTGCCTACATCTTCATTCCTCAGTACAGCCAAGCACCTCCTTAGACTCTCATGAAGTGAGAGGGGATAGATGGAGAACTGGAGGTGTGGAGACCTTTTAGTGATGGCCAAACAGGGAATTGGGAGCATAACCCAAGTTGTAGTCAGAGCTTTGTCTACAAAACAGTCCTTTTTGCAATGGATGGGCATTAGCATCAGCGCATTCCTGCGCACCCCCTTGCCTGCCTTTTGACAGCCCCAGCAAAGGGGCCAAAGACTGAACTCCCTCCTAGGTGGAGTGGGGTGGAGTTTAGCTTGGGCCAGTGCTGGGGGATGACATGATGCCCTTGCCTGTGCTGCAACACCCATTTGGAGATGGACCCTGGGTTTGGTCCATTCTGCCCATTCGGCACTTCTTCAACAGCATGAGTTTCTCAACAATAAAGTCCTAAAACTTAGTGACTAGGTTGGTTGGTTAGGGACCCTGTAGCTAGTCCTGCTCAAGGTTGGATGTCTGATTTTGTTGTCTGTCTGCTCCCCTACAGTGTGCTATGTCTGCTCCTTGGTGATCTGCTTCCTGCTGACTTGTGCCATGCTGATGAGATCCCTGGTGATGCACAGGTGATAGCCTATTTCTCTCTTGCTGGGTTTCCAAATCTCCCTAAGACTCTTCCCTTTCCCCCGATGATCTATTTTCCTAGTTGCAAGGATATGGGGGGGGGGGAGAGAAGGAAATCTATTATTCTAGCTCTGCCTTTTGGCCTCGTGTCCTAAGCGCCTTCTGAATTGGGATATCCCTGCTTGTATAACCCAGATGCTTCCCTCCTGAGTTCAGCTGTGTAACCGAACTGGGCTATCTAGGTCTCTCTCTCGTCACAGGAACAATCTGAAGGCTCTGTACCGAGGGGCTGTCTTGGATGTCTTCTATCCCGCCCAGGCGCTCCGCCCTTCTCAACAGGCCGTCTTCTGCTGGATGAGCTTTGCCAGCTTCCAGGCTGCATTTGCCTGCTTGGGTAACTTGTTTTCCGAAAGAAACTAGGCCAAAGAGGTGTCAAAGAGTGGGAAGAAGAAGAAGAACAGATTCTTCCCTGCAGGAATGGCTGTTTCCACCCACAAAAAAAAAAAAATGTTAAGGGGATAATTGAGAGATTTTTAGGGTCAGATCCCCAGTTGGTGTAATCTAGCATACTTCCAGTGAAAATCAGTGGAGAGACCTTAATTTTACTTAGCTACAGATCTGGGCCACTACATCAAAGCTAGCAATACTGATCCTGTATCTGGCCTAAATGTTTTCCTGGCTAAATGGCTGGCAGAGACATAAAGCAATGGCTGAAGTCTAGCGTACAGAACATCAGTTCATCAGTGCCCTGTTTATTAGATGTAGTGGACTTCTCCCATAGTTTATGTGAGACGCTGACTGCTGGAAAGCTGCCCACTCATGCAGATGTGACTGTTTCAAAGATGGTAGCTATATAGTTTGGCTGGAGTTTGGTTGAATGTCTTGCCTCAAGGTCCTTACTATTGTGCCCTAAACCTAATATGACTAAAATGGGTTTTCAGGCTGGGCCTTGGTGCATAGATGGATCTATCAGAACAATGACCCTTTAGTTGGGATTGTGTGGTGACCTGTGAGACTGGTTAGAAAATGGGGTGCAAATCCTGTTGTGGCTTCTCAAAAGAGTTGTAGTTTGTTTTTTGCCCCATTCACTGCAACTGCTGCCGCTCCATACCCTGAGCTGGGTCTAGCTTATGAGGAACACTGTGGCCAAATCCAGCCCAGAGCACACAGACAATTTCACCCCCCTGGTGTGGTAAAATATCCTATTATTCTACAGGCTGATTGCACTAGGTCAGCCGGTGCCCTCCTCCTTGACCACTGAAGTCCAAGGTTGGCAATGTGTTGTCCTGGAGTTTGGAAGTGGCCCATGTCTGGAGCAAAGTGTCCCTCCGATGTGGCTGGGACCAGAGTTGCAGTTGCTGCTTCTCCCTATAGTGCGCCTGTTGCTTCTCCCAGCTGCTGGACAAAGCTTCCCACTGTGGAAGCCCCATGGCCACGGGCTAGATAAAATGGCTCTGCCAGCTGTAGGTTGCCAATCTCTGATTTTAAAGTAGTTTGGCTGAGGGAAGACTGAACTCTTCTCCCACCACCCAAAATTAACCCTCCATGCAGACATCTGGTTTGGAAGCTGGAACAACCCTGCCTTTGTATCTGATTTGTAGAAGCACAGGAGAAATCTTGTCCCCAGCAGTAACCTGGCATAAGCTTTATAAATGAAGACTTATTTGTACCATCATTCAATGCTGAGTGTTGCCTTAGCAATCGGAGTTGGGGGAGGGATTCTAGTACAGATTGCATTAGGCCTACTGTAATAACAATACACGCGAGTGTTGCACACCCAGATGCTGTGAACATGACTCCTGGTTTTTTAACTCTCTATTTTTAAGTCATTAAAGCAAAGCACTTGAGCTGAATGAATTGGCTACGTGTTGAGTGGACTCCAACTGCTTGCCTCGTAGATCAGGATAAATGAAACGCTGGTGCTGGGGATGCTGTTTATCTCAGTGTGATGATGATTATTAGAAATCAGTTTCAAGCCCTAGAGATGGCTCTTCTCCATGGGGATAATGAACCAAGTGGCAAGAAAATGCCAAACCCCAATTAAATCCAATAATCAAAAACGTATGTGTGGGGTGGGTAGTGGTGGTGGGGGAATGGCAATCTTGCAGTCTTCTTGGAGGATTGAGATTGACTTAGGCAATTAACGCTTGGGTGGCAAGGGAAAAGATTGGAGGCACCCCAGGGATTAGGCTGGGATTTGCCAATCAGTCAAGGGGAGTGGTGTCTGGAGTCGCTTTTTTTAATTTTCAAAAGCATCCATGTCACTTAAGCACAAATCCCATTGACAATGTGAATTGTTTTAAATCACTTGGGTACTGGCTGAAAAATGTAGGCTATCCCAACTCCTATCAAAGTTCAATGTGAACCGGGTGCTTAATTCACTTGAGGCTTCTCTCTGAACCCAGCTGGAATACATTCTGCTGGAAGATCTCCAGTTACTCTGAGGGAGGATGCTCTTCCTCCTCTAATTCCCTGAGATACATGAGCAACCCCATGAGGAAAAATAAGGGAGAGAGGGCTTGAAGTGTTGGTGCAGGAGTCCTGCAGTTTTGAGGAACATCAGTGCAACATGGGGCCTAGGGTTAAAGGAGATATCACTCCCATCCACCTCATGCCTTCCTATTAAGGCAGTCAAGGGGCCTTTTTAAAACAATGTCTCCTTTTTTTCTTTTTAATCCAGAAAATACTGACTTGTCAAAATTTAAGTGTTTGTAGTAACATAGACTTGTTTTCACCACCTGCTTCCTTGGGAAGTCTCGCAGTTATGGTAAAATTTCTGGTGGCATACACTTTCAGCTTACCCTTGAAAATGAGACAGTGCTATTGGTAGGGAAATCAAGTATGACTTGAATCTGACACCCCAATTACAGGTCACTGATTTAGATTTTTTCCTGGAGCATCTCTTTTGCCACATAGGTCTGTGGAAGTTGAAATGGTTTTTTTGTTCTTCACTGGGGGAGAGACCTGGAGGCTTCTTATGAAATAGAAATCTTGTTTCCTGGCCACCCTTATTTAATACTTGGTGGCTATTTTGCCAATACATTGGGGTGTGATTTAAATTTCCTTGCCCATCTCCTTGCATTTTTCTCCCCATCCCTTCCACTATGGCTGATCATATGTTGTGCCTGTCTCTCAAAGGTCTCATCCTTCAGCAAGTGATCTTCTTCATCTGCACTGCGGGATTCACTTTCCTTGTTGTCCTTCCTCTGCAGTCTGGTACACACATGCATCTTTTTAAGATCCTGCAAAATATGTGGTGAGTGCTCTTCCGGCTTGGTGGACAGCCTCGGGGAAGCATAGGACCTAAGAAACAGAGAATGGGATGACCTTTTTATTTAAGCCACAATATTTGCAGAAGCTGGGCAAACAATATCAAGGCAGAGCATTTGTCCTTGATGTGGCTGGGCTGTAAATGAGGTGAGGTTAATTTTGTCATGCTGTGATGTTCCACCTGCAGGTTGAAAAGCAGTGTTATGATGGGCAGGTAAATATGGCCCCTTCCATTGCAGAATAAAATTGGATCTGCCATGGTTAGGATTGTTCTGTGGATTTGGGATAGATGGCAACCATCTAGCTTGGGGGTGGGAAATTATTTGGACCTGTGGGTCGCATACGGAGTTTTGTTGAGCTGTTGCAGGCTGGGTCAGCATCCCTCTCCCTACCCTGCTCAACAGCTCATCAAAACTCCCTATGTGGAATGGGGTTGTAGGTGAGGCCAGGGTCGTGGGGCAGTGCCAGTGTGGGACCAGGGCCTGGGGCAGGGCCATGATCTACTGCCTGCATGCCCCTGCGATGAGCATGGATTCTGCAGGCAGAGATGCATGGGGACCAGGCCCTGTGCTGTCACTGCCCCAAAATCCTGGACCCAGCTCTGGCTGCAGCTCCTCACCCACCTGTGGCCCCATCCCATCTCCCTGGCCATGTACCGTGCTTGTGTGGCTTCTGGCAGGTCTCCATGGAGCCCCTGGGATCAAGGGGTGGTGATAGCGGGGGGTCGGGGCAGAGCTGTGATCCATTCCCTGCCCAGAGAATCGGGGCTTTGTCTTAGCTGTGGCCCCGTGCTGGCACTGCCCTGTGATCCTGGAGTATCTGTGGAAATTGGCTGGGAGATGTTGTGGCATGGCTCATGGCCAGGGAGATGTGATGGGGCTGCAGGCAGGCAGGATGCTGTGTCTGGGATCTTGGAGCAGTGACAGCACAGGGCCTGGGCCAGGGGCATGTAGGCAGTGTGTCACCACCCCAAGATCCATCTGCACCCACCCACGGCCCCATCCCAGCCACCCGGCTGAGCATCCTCCATGCGGGTCCCCCCCCCCCCCGGGGGGGGGGGGGGGGGGGGGGGG